CAGAATTTGGGTCTAAGAATAAGTTGTTTTAGAAAAAATGTTCTTCTTTTGTTTCCACATAAGATGAGAACCTGTGGATTTCTTCCAGACTAATGTGGTTTGATGGACCAAGAACCTACCCAAAAGATCATCATGAATACCCCCAAAAATTACTTCACCCAACTAAAAGCAGGAAGCAGTTTGGAGAGAACTATGCCCAAATTCCAAAATATTGTTTGTAAATGTTTGTTTATATTTGAAGAGGGATATGCCATAGAGATTTGCATTGGTATGGATCTTGGTTTAGTGATACAAATTTCAGGTCAATTTTGTTATATGTATATTTCTGCTCTTGATTAAGATATTGTGTTAGTGTAGCTCATTTAAACATGTAATGTGCAATTAAAAAATATGTGTTAATAGGTAATCATCTATAATTGTCAAGCTTGTAGTCATGTTAGTTAGATTTTCTAGATGTACAGAGATGTATTTCAGATGGATAGGTATTCTTCAAATCTTTCAGGGACCTTTAGAATATGGCATTTAAAATGTTTAAGAACTTAGGGATTTTCATGACAGTGACACTCATCTGATCTCGGCAGCACAAATTGCTTCAAGAGGAAGAAGGGCATTGACAAGGCTCCTTAAGGAGTTTGATAGCCATTTGGGCAAGAAACTGCTCTTGCCTGGAGTGCTTGATTCTATGCTGTATGAACTGGACATGCAGAACCCACAGAGAAATGACTGTTGAACTTGCCTTAATGTTGAGACCATTCTTTTGGGTTTCTGTTTCATGAAGGAGTCTGCTAGACAAGACACAGAGGAAAGTGACTGACAAACTACCAATATAGGTAAAATTGTCTTTGATATTTCCTGCTTCATGGAAAAGTCTACTGGATACTATGGACGTCTAGGCTGAAGATTGATACTCTAATGGTACAGAAAAACTTTGCGTGACTGTCCAGGCAGTGAGATGTCTCTGTTAATTGTATAGTTTTAGAAGTTGCTTACAATGTACTTTTTGTTAATTTAGGTACTATTATATCCTTTTTGAGTCTTTGATGGAGTTGAAGAATAGTTATAATTTTACTTAGTTATAATAAAAGATAAAGTAGATATAAATAATGTAACTTTAATTCTTGCTTGATACCTGTTTTGTTATATGTAATTTTATTATGTTAAAGTTAAAACCTTCCTTTTTATTTAAACAGAAAAAGGGAGGTGATGTGGGATTCTCCTCTGTATTCTGTGAATACCATTGGTTAATAAAGAAGCTGTATTGGGCCTGTGATAGGGTAGAGCAGAGCTAGGCAAGGGAAAACTAAACTGAATGCTGGGATAAAGAAGGCAGAGCAGAGAGAAGCCATATAGCCTCGCCGAGACGAATGCTCGAACTTTATCCGGTAAGCCAGAGCCTTCGGTTGCTGCAGGAGCTTCTTCTGCTCCTTCAGCCATTAGCCTTTAAGACACCAGCCCACAGGTGTGGGCATGGTCTCTTATACATCTAAAAAGCAGCAGGAACCAGGCGCGCTCTCTCTCTTGCTTCCAGCTCCCATCCAGTGATTAGATACTCTGTTTCCTGTTTGCAATGACAGGATTGTTGTTTGGGATGGTGATCTGTAAGTTTTTCCCTTTAAATAAATAACTCTTTTTATTATCTATAATTCTTAACTGGTGTGTGTTTGTTTTGTGGCTTCACATGGTGATACACAGATTAATGGAGATGGGTTAATTTAAGATATGAGCTAGCCAGAAATATGCTTAAGCTATTGGCCAAACAGTATTGCAAATAATATGGTTTCTGTGTGATTATTTCAGGGCTGAGCAGCTGGAAACAAACATGCAGTCTCCCACAGCAAATACTGATGGTGCCTGTCTCATATCCACTCACCATAGTCACACTCTACTCTCAAAGGCTCCTTAGCAGGCATTTTCTTTAGCGGAGAATAAATTTCTTCCAGGTGTTGTACATGACTGTAATCCTAATACTTGGGAGGGTCAAGCAGGGGGGTTGTGAGTTTGAAGCTGGAGTGGAAGGAGGAAAGGGAGGGAGAGAGGAAGGGGGTAGGGAAGAAGGAAGGAAAGAAGGCAAGGAGTGGAGGAAGGAGGGAGGGAAGAGACTCTAGGAGAGCACAAAATGAATGATAAGTAAGTTTGTTGTGTTGATAGGCAGCAGTCACTGTTCCTGATGCTGATGGGAACTGATCTAGCCCTGCCAGGCCTCCTTTAAGACATGTGCCTTTAGCCCTAATGTGAATTCCAGGTAGAAGGTAACAGGGTTGAACTTCTGTTTACCTTGACTAACCTAACCCTAACTCAGTCTCTGAGTCCAGTGCTTATCCATCTAGTCAGTGTCATCTGTGGCTACAGAAAGTTACCTGGGCTGGCGAAATGGCTTAGCCATTAAAGGCATTGGTCATCCAGCCTGGAAACCTGAGTTTGAGTCCCAGAACTCTATTGATGGAAAGGAAACAAGCTCCTCCAGGTTGACTTCCAATGGAAAGGAAATCATTATATCATGGTGTGTGTGTGTGTGTGTGTGTGTGTGTGTGTGTGTGTGTGTGTAGGTGTGTGTTTCCATGTGTGAATTCTAGCACGCATGTGTCACAGTACACCTGTGGAGGTCAAAGACAACCTCTGGTACCAATTCTTGCCTTCCTCCTCATTTGAGGGATTTGCCACTTTGGACGCCAGGCCCCCTGTCCTGCAAGTTTTCAGGGAGTCACCACCTCCCATCTCACAGTAGGGGGGCTGGGATAAAATGCTTCCATTTCCAGTTTTACCTGGGTTCGTAGGATCCAAAATCAGGTCTTCTTGCTCATGTAGCAAGCACTGTGTTCACCGAGCCACGTCCCTAGCACCTCCTTTGACTTTTTCATCATCCAATGCAGACCACCGTGTCTGTCGTAAGCAGAGGAATGCAGGGATGAGATGCCTTGGGAGGTGAAGAAGGAGCAGGTTGGATTCTGCCTTCCCATGTGGTCGGAGCAGTTACCAGAGGGAGGGTGCTGTCCCTCCACCAGGATGGTCAGGATATAATGGGAAAAGGAGAGCAAGCTGGAGACAGACAACAAGAGGAAGGCTGTTCTTTGGAAGGGTTTTTGCACTAAGAGAAAAAGAGAAAACAGGCAGAACTGGAGAGGGGGCGGCCTGGAAGACAGTCTGTGTAGAGAGGGCGAGCATGCTGTGTGCTGAGGGAATGTTCTAGAAGGGAGGGGCGACCAGAGCTGCACATGGGAGATAACAGTGTGAGCATAGCTGGAGAGGCAACAAGGCAGGCATGCAGGTGGGACAGGACCAGCCTTCAAGGGGACCACGGACAGTCCCCACATTGTCATGGAGAGGCAAGGCTGCTGTTGGTGACGAGAATGAGTGAAACCATTGGACGATGCCCATCTCCAGGAAACCCTGCACTTGTGTGCACAGCCCTGTGGCCCTCCCTGCCACTTCCAACTTGGTTTCTGAGGCTGCAGAGGAGACAAGTAGTGAGGAGCACGGGTGCAGAGATTTCCAGGGCTGCACATGAGATTAGTGGCAGATGCTAGAGTCTAAGGGAGACACTTCGGGTTCCTCCACTTTATTTCCATTTGAGTGACACGTGAGAGATCGAGAATCCTTGCTGCACCTCAAAAACAAATAATCATCAGAGATGCCGAAGGCACAGCCAGTCAACTCATAAGGTTTATTCCTTAGGCTTAAACAATAGAAAAGTACTCCAGAGAGAAAAGAATTCCAAAGGATGATTGCCTACTGTCTGGGTTTATAATTACCAAGAGTGCCTCACTGATCACCCAAGGCTCACTGCCCTGAAAGCCTTTCAGAGTTCTGTTGAGTTCTGTGGCTTTGCCTCCAAAATATGAGTGAAACAAGAAGTCCTCTTATATTTCAAAATTAAGCAAGACTGTTCAGCAATACTTTTCTGAGCATACAAAATCAAAGCCAATTTTTTTTTTAAAAAATCCAGACACAAACATCAATTAAAAAAAAAGATAGCCAAATTTAGACCATACAGATATGGATAACTTCAGAGAAGCTATATGTTATAACCACCCACATGCATTATGTTGCTTATAATTTAACTTTTATTAAAGATAAATACCATTATAACGAATCATAAATAGATACATCTGCCCCTAAACACACAGTGTCAGCCTGTAGAACCTCCTCAAACTACAAGCAAATGACAATTTCAAACACCATTCAATGACACAGACATTTAATGTTTTTATCCTTTAGGAAATTAGACTTGACCACAAATCTTTGTCCTCAGTTTCAGACGAGTGGTTTCCAGTCGCAGAGGGTATTTTTTTGTCCAGGTGAATTGAGTCCGCTCTCCCCCTCTGATATTTCCCGAAGAAGAATGTAAGAAGGGTTTCACAGCTCTCTGGACTCACCTCTGTTCTGGACATCCAGGGACATGGTGGTGTGAGAAGGGTCTGAGACCCCGTGTAGGTAACGCCCTGAGCATCTATTTTTAGCTTCATTTCTGTTACTGTGATAGATACCCTGACTAAAAGCAGCTCTGGGATTAAGGGTTTCGTTGGCTCACACCCCCAGGTTGTAGTCTGTTATTGCAGGGAAGTCAAGGCAGGAACTTAAAACAGAGGGGCACATCCATGGTCCCAACAGAGACAGGAAAAACACTTGGATCCTTGCTTGCCCTCAGCTGGCTTCCTCCTCTCACATTGCTCAGGACACACTGCCTAGGGAACACTGTCACCCACAGTGGGCTGAGTCTTCCTACATCAGTGGATACTAAAGAGATATTTCTCATTAAAACTTTCTTCCAGCATGATTATAGGTTGTGTCAAGTTAACAGTCCTAAACTCCCAGCACAGCATTTGAACTGCAGGTATCAGGAGCTGATCCCCATGACCCCTGCATGGAGGTAGTAGAATGCATGATGCAAAACAATCACCAGGGGCTGGGGAGAGCTTTGTGCAGACATGGGCTCCATCCCAGGCACCAAAACCCCAAAATGGTACAAAAAAAAAAAAAAAAAAAAAAAAAAAAAAAGAGAGAGAGAGAAAAAGAAAAAAAAAACCCAAAAAACAAAACAACAACAACAAAAAAAAAACATTTGGCCGCCACAGAATCTATTTTTCTACTTATATTTAAAATGACTATGCCTGGTTATTACAGAATGGAGTTTGGGCAGTTTCAATCTTCACCTCCAGGAACAATCTAAGGCCATCTGTGAGGATCTGTCTTTTCCTGAGAGTTAGACTAAAAGGCAGGAGACACCTGAGGCAAGCCCCCGACAAATTTTCCCAACAAATTCTTAGCCAAATGAAAGCACCAAACAAATGTAGAGGTGTGACTGAGAGTTTACTTCTAATTCACCTTTGCCTGTGTTCACGCACAGTTTACATCCTGGAAGCCACAGAGAAATAAAAATAAGCAAAGAGTCTGGGAGGTCAGTGTTTGCAGGAGCCTTTGCAAAGATTACTTTTGTTTGCATTTCATTTATTATGTGTGTACATACACATCTGTGCAGACCCACCGTGGGCTTGTGAAACTCAATTGTCTCCTTTCACAATGTGGGTCTCAAGGACTGAATTGAATTTGCTAGGGTAATTTGTCAGCAAACACCTTAATCCACTGAACCTATGCAGGCCAGAAGGGACTCCCAGGCTAGCACTCTCACAAGATGCAGCAGCTTGGCTGGTATCAGACATCTCCTTTGGGAAGTCCCCTCAGGACCTGTGAATAATTACAAAACTCTCCTCCCCCACTATACCAAGCCAAAGTCCCAGCCAGAGAGAGGAGTAAGCATCCTGTCTACCAGGAGACCCAGCCTAGAGAAGGCTAAGATGCCAGTCCTAATGTGATGAATACAGGAAATTACTTCTTAATTTTCAAAACGTGGTACAAGAAAACAAATGCTTCCAAATGGAGGGATGGAGAAGATCTAAGCAACATCTCATCTATTTTTTAAGTGATGCCCAGTAGCTACCATATTAAATTCTGCTTGTGAATTATTCAGTCTGCCATGAGGCTGCAGACTCAGTGGGGAAACCAGAGGATGTCTGAAGCCTGGCTTTGTTCTTTCAAAACAGCACCCTGAGGCCAGCGATGGACGCTGTAGTGTGACCACTGGTGCAGCTGTGATGGTAAAAGCTATGCTCCCTCAGCTGGGTGTGTTTCACTTCTGCCTGGAGGCTGGAGGTCAAGAGACCCTCTGGGTGTGCAAGTGTGAGCCACTCCTTCAGCTCAAGTCCCCACCATAGCACACCTGGCCTTGTGACAAAGCGCAGCTGATTGTGCAAGAGAGAGATCAAGGCAACTTCACGCTTCAAAGAGAAGATAGGAGGCACTTGCTATGCCACATCCCAAGTAATAAAACTAGCCTGCTGCCTGCATGTAGACACCTGCATCTGGCATGTGTGCACATGTGAAATGCACATGACCTCATGATAAAGCTAGTCTAAATGGGAGGTATGTCAGAATTCCATGGGGGGCCCAGGGCCAAGTCAAAACCAGAGAGAACCATGAAGAAGTAAACCAACACTCTAGCCAACACCCAGAACAGAGGTGGCTGTGTGCAGGCAAAGGGAGATGCTGGTGATTCCTTGGGTAGCTCCAGCCCCAGGCTTCTGAGAGAAGTAAGCAAGTAGGAAGGTATGTTAATGGTGTGCTAATGGAGAAGGCTTAGGGCTGGGCCTCCACTGCATCTCAGGCCCTGGGTGAGTCACTGAGTCACCTCAGTTGCCTCCGATGACAAACATTTCGCAGTAAGAATGAAGTGCAGCTACCCTCAAAGAATGACTGCGCACAGGTGACCACACCTGCTTATGCTCCCATATACTGTGCATAGGCCAAAAGAACCTGTGCCTGAACAGATTCTTGGCACTGGGAGCTCACTCAGGTCTGCTGTCTGGAGACCCTCACCTTGACCTTGCTCGTGATGTGTGTGAATGCAGTGAGCAAACATGGCTAATGAAGGATTGAATAAAGGGAAGGTCTGACACAAAGCGGCTGGTGCCAGGTCCTGATGCCAGCTCTTCCACCCTCTAGACGGCAAAGCCACCATATTGTTACAAGCCTTGGCTTCCCTCTCTGTCAAGAGAAGATCTGATTTGGTTTTGACGGTGTGTGCTGTCCCTAGTACACACCCAGGAACAATCACCCTTTATCTTTCCCTGGCTCAGATTTTCATATATTCTGAAGTAAGGGTCTAGGACTTGGTGCTGTATGATTTTGAAAAATGTCACAGACAGAAGAATCCCCCTCCCCTGCTCAAGTGTTATGGGAGAGACAGGAACAAGTGTGGAAATGAGGCCCTAAAGGTAACCTAACAGTATTCTGACTTAAGTAAGATTTCCTGAGTTCAGAGAGCATATCACAACTTTTACAATCACAGTCACATGAAGCCTTGGCTCCAAGCACATAGTAAAATCTAGTAAAATCAAAAGCAGGGGAAAAGCAATGATTCCAACAATACAGACCAAGATTACTTGTCTGGTGACATAGGCTGAATGGCCATGAGCCCCTGTTTTTACCCAGTTCTGAAAACCACCAGGGTTAAATTCCAAACCAAAGCTCTCAGCAGATCTCTGACAATGTGATAATCCAGTGTGAAGAGCAGGGGTCAGAAGGATCACAGATGCAGGGATAGCCCTTCCACTAGGCCTATCTCCATGCTCTGCACCCCAGGAGCTTGGACCAGTTCAGCAAAGTTCTTGAACAGACCATGCCTGTGCCTGGCTTCCCTTGAGTTTGAGATCTGAAGTGTTCCAGTGCTGCAACTGGTCACCCCCATCAATCCATCAAGACATCCGCAACAAAGACAAGGTGTCCCAAAAGGCTTAGAGGAGATGTCACCCTTGCTAGGATTTCAGTAGTGTATTTGGCCTATACAGAAAGACTCAGCTATGGTTTCTCAGTTTGATTTATATGGTCATACAACCCAGTTTCCTTCTAGCATGGCGGTGAACTAGTGTCTGCAGACATGCATGTCTCATGTTGAAGATGCATTGGGTACCAAGTGACTAACAGACTCAGTGCCTAGCTACATCATTTAAGTGAGGGGAAAGGCCTGAGAAAACTGGTTCATCCCAGCCTTAGCAGGATTGGGAAGTGAGGGGCAGGGGACCCTGGAAAGGTCCTGAAGGATGCCAGTTAGATTTAAGATACCCCCACACTAAGCTTCTTCTACCACTGACCTCTCCCAAAGTATGAGACACTCAGTTGGGGGCCACCAACTAAATTCTGATAGTACTTGATTCTCATTCCTGTTCTGTCTACAGACTGGGGGTCTTTGGACAAGTAAGTGGCCATGGCTGCTGGTTCCTAACCTATAAAATGGGAATGATCACATCCATGGCTTCATATGTATACTGAGCCCTGATATGAGCAGATGAAGGCATGTCTCAAACATTGAGAACATAGTGCAAAAGCCTGGTAGATGAGATCTGTTATTGCTCTGGGTGCCAACTGGGAACGAGTCTTGACCTGTGTGTGTGTACATCCACTCTAGGACATGCCGGGCATTGAGTACAGCGCTCTTTGCCTTCCTCCTCCTTCTCTACCCCTGACAGTTCCCAGCAAGGTCATCCCAGATCTTCGCAAAGTATCAGCAAAGGTTTTTGGAAGTTTGCACCACAGGCTCCCCTCAGACAGCAGAGCAATCCTGTTCCTGAGAGTTCTCCAGTGCCTGCCAGTAAGTGAGTAAGTCCTGGGGCGTCATAAAGTGGCAGGTCACAATTTTCCGAAAGCGGCACACAGAGAAGCGTAAGCCACCTGGGAAAAAGGTCTGTTTGGTGTGGAGTTCCTCAGGCCGGATCTTCAGCTTGGCCAGGCAGAGCCCGACAAACACATCCTCCAGCTTGAGGAATGGGACACTCTCTGAGACATTGTATACTTTGCTGGCCACATCACTTGAAAAGACATAACCTGTTCCAGAACAAAATGGTGGGTACTTTTCCCAGGGATATTCAAATTTACTCACAAACCACTTGTTGAACTTCTGCCTGATGGGAAGATCATTGGACTTTATGTAGCCCGTGAAGAACTTGGAGGTTTTGTTTTTCTTTAGCAGCAGTTCAGTCAAATAGCCAACATTCACAAACATGTCTGAGTCTGTTTTCATCACAAAAGCTGCCTGAGGACAAAAGTGGTGGACCCATTCCATGCCCATCATGGTCTTCAGGGTCAAGTTGAAATAGACGTCCTTGAAATCCTTCTGGATGATGTCACGGTGCTGCTTGCCCTCCTGGGCTGTGGCATTCATCTCATCGGTGCTGTCTGAGGCCCCCAGGAGGAAGAGGGTCTTCACACGCTGTCCCTGCACCTCTGTTTCTCTACCCCATGTCTTGCGGATGGCCATGCGAGCTGCCAGCTGCTTGTGGGATGAAGTCACCAGAAGCACAAGGAAAGGGGGCTTCTGCTTGCAGTCTATATCTGGAAGCTGGAGGAACTTCCCGTGACCCTTCTTGAGAACAAATGGAAGTTCCTTAAAAGGCTCCATGCTGAAGTACAAGCAAAGAACGCCCAGCATCAGAATGGAAGCATAAACCAGCCTCATCTTCATGAAGGCCATCTGAAAGAACAAAGACAAATTGCCAGATCTCCCAAGAGAGAGGGTGGAGTAACAGATACCCAAACACAAGATCAGAGGGCTCTGTTCTGGTGTTCCCAATCTAGTAGCAGGGCTAGAATTTATATTTTATAAGTAACTAACAAAGAAATATTTGATGGTTCCCAACACAGGGCTAGAGAGCCAGCTCAGTGGTTAGGAGCACTTCCTGCCAGCAACTACCTGGATCTGCTGTTCCAGTCGATCTGATGCCCTCTTCTGGTCTCTATAGGCACTGCACACATGTGGTGCACAGATAAATATGCAGGCAAAATTCCCTTACACATAAACTAAAAACTTTTAAATTTTACCCAAGAAGTACCAAACAAAGGAAAAATAGATATTTAAGGAAATGGAACTGTGAATCTGTGTAAACAATACACATTATATATGCATACTGCATTATACCAAACCCCACATATACACAATTTAAAAATGAACTTTAAAAAATAATGAGTTGATATGCCAGGTAGGTGAGATAGATGAAGAGATCCATGGTTTAGAAAACTGTGGAGGGCTGGAGAGATGGTTCAGAGATTAAGAACATTGGGCATTCTTTTAGAGATCCTGATTTCATTTCCCAGAAACCACATGGTGGCTCACAGCCATCTATAATGAGATCTAATGCCCTCTGGTATGCAGGCATGCATGCAGAGCACCCATGCATAAAATATAAAAAAGAAAAAGAAAGAAACTGCAATTTTTCATAACATAGAAATGGTGGCCATTTCTCAACAGTGAAGCACACAGGACAGCCTGCCTTGCTGTCCCCCAGTGCCACACTGACAACCTTGGGATTCTAGATGCTGGTCCCAGCTCTGGGACCTGCCAGCCCTTCACTGAAGGGTTATTCAGACTCCTTGTCCTTCAGTAGATGGGACCAGATCTCCCAACAAATCCTCAGCTCTGACCTCTGGTGACTCCATGACAAAGAATGTCACAATGCATCCAGACAACCTGTAGGTCTGAAAGCTGTGCATTCTTGGTGCAAGCACAGGTCTGGATGCAGTGCATTCTGGATGCAAGCACAGGTCTGGAAGCAGTGCATTCTGGGTGCAAGCAGAGGTCTGGAAGCAGAGCATTCTGGGTGCAAGCAGAGGTCTGGAAGCAGAGCATTCTGGGTGCAAGCAGAGGTCTGGAAGCAATGCATTCTGGGTGCAAGCAGAGGTCTGGAAGCAGTGCATTCTGGGTGCAAGCACAGGTTTGGAAGCAGTGCATTCTGGGTGCAAGCACAGGTCTGGAAGCAGAGTATTCTGGGTGCAAGCACAGGTCTGGAAGCAGAGTATTCTGGGTGCAAGCACAGGTCTAGAAGCAGAGCATTCTGGGTGCAAGCAGAGTTCTGGAAGCAGAGCATTCTGGGTGCAAGCACAGGACTAGCCACAAACTTCTCTGCTCTAATTAAGAATGCTCAAAAATCAACTCATCACTATGAGTTCCTGACAACTCATGTGTCTGAACTCTTGGTCTGCAGCTGATGGTGCTGTTGGAAAAAGTTGTAGACCCCTTTATGAGATGGGGCTGAGCTACAAGAAGTGAGTCCTGGGGGATGAGTGTTGAGTTTATGACACTGTCCACTTCATGTTCTCTCTCTGCCTCCTGATCCACAAGATATTAGCAAAAACCTCACACCCTACTACCACAGCTACAAGCTGCTCCCAGTGGTGTGTATGTATTCCTGCTGCAAAGGAGAATCACCTCAAGTCAGGATCCAAAGTAAATCCCTCCACCCTGTAAGTCATTTCTCTTTAGGTATTTGGTCATAGTGGTGAGAAAAGAAATGAACACAAAAGCACCTCTGATTTTCTGATTTGCACAATTGACTTGAAATTCTAGACACCTGTAATGTGGTAAGTTTGAGATCAACTGTGTTAGTGTTGTAACACTGAGAAAGAAAGACACTCACTTTTGTTGAGCAAGAAATTAGCTCCCCTCCAGAGGGCTAAGTCACAGGGTAGAAGCCACGATGAAATGAATTCCTTGTGAGGATCAGTGGTGACCAATATTCCACCCTACCTTCCGAGACAATCTTCTGGACTCGGTTTTTCTACCAAAAATGAAGCTTGTGTCTCCCAGGAATAACTAGGAAAGAAAATAATGGCATTCGAATTGTTTTCACTTTACTTTATGCTTTGCCCTCTCCCTGTGTGACCTCGAGCAAGTGTATGAGCTGCATTAATAGACTCAGTTTTTTGGCTTCTAACATGGATACAACTGAGGCAGAGCATGAACCATATGACTCACCTACCTACCTACAACAACAAAAAATGTCTGAGAATCCTCTGTGGTCTCCCAGATGAAGATAAGCCCTGTGGTGGTTTGAGGGAGAATGGCCTCTGTGGGCCTATATGATTGATGCCTTTTTCATCAGTGGGTGGAAGCTTTTGGAAAGGATTGGGGGTGTGGCCTTGGTGTCACTGGGTATGGACTTTGAGGTTTCAAAAACCCATGCCATTGTCACTGTGCTCCCTTTCTTCCTCATGACTCTGAATCAAGCTGTGAACTCTAAACTGTTCCTGCCATTCATGTCTTTGCTGTCATCATGAACACTAACCCTCTGACATTATTAGAAAAACTGTATGCTTCCATGACATCCTCTGCTCGTGTTGTTTCATCACAGCAAGAGAAAAGTAATTAACATGGAAGTTGGTACCTGGAAGCGGGATAGAGCCTGACTGGCCTGACCTTGTAGTGTTTTGTAGGAATGTAGAAGACAGTGGGGCTTTGGATGAGGAAAATGGTTGAACACTGATTGCTGAGCTTAATAGGCCATCCTAGTAGGAGCATGGCAGTAGTGCTGTGGAAAATGGGGGTCCACCTCAAGAGGTTTCAGGGGGGAGCAATATTAGTAATGGGGATAGAGACCATTCTTGTGATATTTTGACAAGGAATGTGGCTGCTTTCTGCCCTTGTATCAAGAATCTACATGAGGCTACACTGAAGAGTAAGGGATTAAGTTCTGTGGTAGTTTGAATGCAATTGATCCCCATAAGTGCATAAGGAATGGGACTATTAGGATGTGTGACTTTCTTGGAGTAGGTGTGGCTTTGTTGGAGGTCATGGTGTCTCTTCACAGCAATAGAAACCCTAGGACAATTTCACTGGCAGAACAATTTCAAGACAATCTAATACTGACTTTCTCATGTGGTTACTAATGACACCATTATGCAAACATACAATAAAAAAGATCAGGTAGAACAGAAATTTGATATAAAATGTTTGAGGAGAAAAAGAGGACCAGAGAAATTTATTATTGGCACTCAGAATTGTTCTGGAAGAGAGAAGAAGATTAAAGAAAGGTCTAACCCAAACTGGAATAAAGACAGGGTGTCCTCAGGGCAAGACCCCACCCAGCTAAGCTCCTGACTTGTAAGAGGGAGGCCTAAGGAATTTTCTGTTCCTAATGAACCTGCAAACATGATTCAAGGAGGCAGCCAGACTTGAGACTGTCACCAACGTGGTTCTTGGATAAGGGGTTGCGGAGCTTTTCTCTGTGGTTAAGGAGAGCTGAGGAGACCAGGCAGTGGTTTATGGTAAGAAAGACCCTGCAAGACCTAGAAGCCCTGAAAGGCCATTGCATGAAACTGAAACTGAAGCCTGGGTTGCATGGAGACTCTAAGGTGTTAGACTTGCTGGAGCCATGGATGTTTGCCAAGGAGAGCTGCACAGAGGAGTGGATCACAAGAGGGATGTGCGGTGTGGGGAGCAAAGCTGGATGTGAAGGGCTAAGCCCAGTGACACTGGGTTTGGATCTACAGGATTTGGACTTTGCCGTGTTTAGTCTCCATTTTGCTTTTTTCTAATATTTCTTTACTATGCTTTCTTTCTCCCCTTTGGAATGGTAAAATATATTCTCTGACATTGTGTGTTGAAAGTATATAATAATCTTTTTGATTATATTTTACAGGTGGTTACAATAAAGAGACTGCCTTAGTCTCAAAAGAATACTTTAGACATTTTTTTGGGGGGATTTTGGTCAGGATTTTATTGAATCTGATATTCATTCTAAGTATATGTCCCTTTAACAGCTCATCAAGTTATAAAGTCCAGACTATATGTCCAGTTTTTGCATTGTCTTGAGTTCCTTTCAGTAGAGTTTTTGTTTTTTTATTATTTATTTATTATAAATTTCCACCTCCTCCCCACATCCCATTTCCCTCCCACTCTCCCCACTCCTCCTCCCCCTCCCTCTCCAGTCCTAAGAGCAGTCAGGATTCCCTACCCCATGGGAAGTCCAAGGTCCTCCCCCCTCCATCCAGGGCTAGGAAGGTGAGCATCCAGATAAACCAGGCTCACAATAAACCAGTCCATGCAGTAGAATCAAAACCCAGTGCCATTGTCCTTGGCTTCTCAGTCAGTCCTCATTGACAGCCACATTCAGAGAGCCTGGTTTGATCACATGCTCCACCAGTCCCAGTCCAGCTAGCCTTGGTGAGCTCCCATTAGATCAGTCCCACCATCTCAGTGGGTGGACGCACCCCTTGTGGTCCTGACTTCCTTGCTCATGTTCTCCCTCCTTCTGCTCCTCATTTGGATGCTGGAGAGGATGTGGAGTAAGGGGAACTCTCATCCATTGTTGGTGGGAATGCAAACTTGTGCAACCACTTTGGAAATCAGTGTGACAGTTTCTCAGGAAACTGGGAGTCAACCTACCTCAGGACCCAGCAATTCCACTCTTGGGACTATACCCAAGAGATGTCCAATCATACTACAAAAGCATTTGTTCAATTATGTTCATAGCAGTACTATAGACTTTTAAACTGAGTTGACACTTGAAAGACTATAGGATTTCTGAAGTTGGACTAAATCCATTTTGCAGTATAGTATAGCTACAAGTCTCTGGGGTCAGAGAGTGAACTATGGTGTTTTGAATAAGAATGGCTCAGAGCAGTTTTCTCAGAGGAGCTGAATTCAGTTCCTAACACCCATGTCAAGCAGTTCACAACTACCTGCAACTCTGGTTCCAGGGAATTTAACTCCTTTTCTGGCCCAGCAGGCAACTATATTCTATGTGAAAACACACAGAGACACAAACAAATAAATTTTTTAAAGTAAATATAATTATATCTTTAAAAATCATTAGTGTGTTTGTATGTTTAGTGTTTTGTGTGTGTGTGTGTGTGTGTGTTTACACTACAATGCAAGTGTGGAGGCCAAATAAAAACTTGCTGGAAGCCCAGTTTTCTCTTCTCACCATGTGATTCCAGGTCTCATATCATCAGGTTCCATGGACAAGTACCTTTACCTCAAAGGTGCCTTTTCTCTAGACACTTCACAGAGGTTAAACTTCCCAGGAATTAACACTCCCCTTCTCCACTGCATCACCCTCTACATAAACACCAAATGGCAGCCCATGGCCAAAGTAGATGAAATACCCAATGCCAAAACTCCCTGTATTTCCTGTTCCCATAAGGGTAGCGACATTTTTCCTGTCTATAATAGAATTACCAAGAAATTGTCCAAAGTGACACTCTCAGTATTTCCATGTACAAAGTAGCTATCTGTGCCTTGAGTTGAAAGGGACACCTTCCTCTTAGACAGTGAACTTGGGGTAACACTGGACCGTCAGGAAACAGATTAGGACAGCATTTTTCTGGAAGGACACGATGTCACTGTGTATCCTCAGATTGCAGCCCCAAGCTTCTGGTAGGCAAGAACAATTGGTCACTGTGTGTGAAGTCAATCAAATGTGGGCACTGTGGCATAAATGAGTGACTAAGCTTAGGGCTGTTGAACAATCTTTGTACACTGTAAACATGTACTGCTATCATTGTTAATAAAAAGCTGATCAGCTGATAACTAAACAGGAGGTATAGGCAGGACAGACAGACTAAGAGGATGCTGGGAGGAAGAAGGGCAGAGTTAGGAGTTGCCAGGAGAAGCAGAGAAAAGCAAGATGGGCGTGCTATATTCAGAAAAGGTACCAAGCCATGTGGCAAAACAGATAAGAAACATGGGTTAATTTAAATGTAAGAGTTAATTAGTAATAAGCCTGAAATATTGGTAAAGCATTTCTAATTAATGGAAGCCTTGGTGTGTTTATTTGGGAGCTGCTGGTGGGACAGAAACTTCTGTCTACACCTTAGGTCACTTAATCTTTAAGCTGTGGGATCTGAAAAGATCCATTCCACTGAGCATAGCAGAGTGGACAAAGCAGGTAGTGACTAAGGGCAATGCACAAGGAATGAACTCATGGGTCACACACAGCTTGAAGCCAGAGAAGAGCAATAGTTACCCCAGTGAATCCTATCCCAGTATTACCAGACAAGACTGAGCCATTCCTTCTCAGAGAAAGTCAGTTCCATTATTTGCCAGGAAGGCAAGCCTCAAGCCACACATTGTTCTCTTCCTAAAAAGAAAGACTGCCACCAAAATTATACAGAAACCATGTGCTGAGAAAAAGTGTCTCCAAGAGTGAGATGGAGCAAGCATCCTTCATCGCTCCCTAAACAGTCATGGTACAGCAGAGCATAGTGAAATCTTCAGCAATACCCAGACCCAAATGGGGCCCTCAGCTCCATGTTCCTAGCTGGGATCCAGCTTTTTGCCCATTGGGTGAGGGCTGGGCAGAACAGCCTGCACAGTTCCTGCAATGTGCTGACTAATTTATGTCAGCTTGACTGGTCATGGGGTACTCTCAGACACTTGGTTAAATATTATGTAGGATGTGTCTGAGACAGTGTTTGAGAATGAAAATAGCATTTGAATGGGTGAACCTTCCCCATGGAGGTGAAGCTCCTGTACTCAGCCGAGAGCTGGTCTGGTCAAAAGGACTGCTTCACTGAGATGACTGTCATTCCCTGTGTTCCTGTGAAACACCTTCCTTTTTTGGTTAAACCTTGAACATAACTTTATAAATATGATAGTGATCTTTAAAGAGGAAATGAAAAATTCCCTTAAAGAAATGGAGAAAAAGGCAAACAAAAACTTGGAAGGAATCAATAAATCTCTTAAAGAAAGTCAAGAAAAAAACAATCAAACAAATTTTCAATCAAATCAAAGTGTTTGAAGCAAACACTTCAAAGAGTTCAAGACTTAAAAATTGAAATAGAGTCAATAAAGAAAGCATAAACCAAGGGAAT